ATTAACTAATATCCTAATTTTTTTATTTTAATTAAGGTTAAATAAATATTGTGAAATATGAAAAAGTAGAAAATTATATAAAAAAATTAATGATAAATTAAATTGTATATGTATTTGAATATAGTTATATTAAAGGAGTAAGAGATGGAAGAAGTCAGTATCAAATAGGGAAATAAAATAATGAAAAAAAAGGAAATAAAGTAGTATAGAAGAAATAAATAGGATAATTTTTTTAATATAAAATTGAATTATAAAAAATAATTTAGTTGTAAAGATATGAGTTATATTTTTCAATCAATAAATTTTTCTGAATATTCAATAAATAAACCAATAGTTAAAATTCATATAAATAAAATACTAATTAAAATTATTTCAATTGTAATTTTAAAGTTTATAAGAACAAGAAAAGTAAAGTTTATAAGTTTATAAGATTTTATTAATAAAAACTTTCAGTTTAAGAAATCTAAGTAATAGACACATACAGTTTAAATGAAAAAAAAAAAAGCAAAAGAAGCATATATTAATTTGTATAGAATGAAAAAAATCTTATGCCTTTCAAATCTAAATTAAAGAAGAAGTAGAAGCTTAAAAAATTAGAATTATACATAAATAACATGTGTAAAAAGAAAATGTAAAAAGAAATCCTATTATCAATTCATGAGTGCTCTCGTAGCTTCTAGATGACAAAATTTATTTAATCGTAAGAAAAAAAGAAAGAATTTCTCTCCGCGAGAGTATCGATATGAAAATGACAGATAGAGAGGACTGGCGATACTAAGAATCGGAATAGGTTTCACATGCTTTGCACACTTTGAACAACATCGTAAATACGATACGACTACGTTGGCGGCGATGTATGAAATTCCCAACACCTGCGATCAGCTGTCGCAAGTAGTCTCATGCGCATAAACCCGAAGACTTTTATTCGCGTCGCGAATATATCTCATCGCCGAGAACAAGAAGTTTAAGCGACAACAATAATCTCTCTCCGCAAGAAATTTCCTGGTAAGAAAATATTACACCATAAGCCACCACGATGATATTCGCTGTCGTACATCACTTTGTCAATTTCAGGACAAAAATCTTGCTTCATTGATGTAATGTAAAAATTGATAAAAAAAAAAACCTGATTAAAATCTCTATTAAAATTAATCTCTATTATAAAATTAAGAGAAATATTTAAGAGATCCTATGTGCGAATTTGCAGGCTGCTCTCTCGCATAGTTATGTGCTTGGCACTTTGCTGAAAATCAACATGAACACGACGTGGGCAGCGGCT